GCCCCCCGCGGGTCAGCAGGGTGTTTCGCGTTGTTTCGACCCCTGGACGCGTTTTCGACGGTTTTGAGCGGTTTTCTCAGGATTTATCTGTTCCAGGGGTTCTCAACTGACTTGATATCATCCACAAACATGGTTAGGCCGTTATTAACTGAAGATATGGCTAAATCCATCATTCTTATCCGAAAACCCCCAACCGAAGCTTATAAATATAGGCCTAGGGGTTCATTTCACGGGGGGATTATTATCAAGAGGGTGAAGTGCTGCCGGATTAAGGAGTCAAAGGAGCACGAATTTACAGCGAAGGCAAGTCAGATCCCGGCGGATTCAGAATAAAGATGGAATGCTTTCGAAGCGATCTGAACCTGTATCCCCCCCCCCCGCCCCCGTCCGTCCTTTCCTCGAGATTAGGCTTGGTATTAATCTCGAGAAGAGCTACTGATTTCGCTTAGTCGATTTCATAGCTTCAAGCAAATACTTCCTTGGTGAAGTAGGAACTCCGTTAATTTTTTGACAACCGGATCTGATCTGTAGGCGGTCCACGGATATCGACGTCCCCGGCACAGACAAAGATCCCGCATAAGCAGAAGACCGATAAACGATCTCTCTGTGTTTGTTTGATAAAGTTATAAACTTTTTATTTTTATTGTGTAAGGAGATCTTATAAAAAGATCAACTTTTTTTTATTTTATTTGAGTTTATTGTAACGACCAAAGTTGTAATGAGTTTAATAACAATGAAAATAGTAACTTTTGAACCAAACAAACTGACGACCACAGTGGGAGCCAACTGCTTCGCTGCCGAAGCTGTCATGTTGCAACCACGGATCCAGATCCCGGTTGAAGAAAAGGTCGAGTACGAGTTCGACCAACTGAAATTCGAGGAGTATTTGTCATCCTCCTCCTCCAGATCCTCCTCCATTCGCAAGCGCATGAAGATCAACGCCCCCGTTGCTGCGGTAGCTGCACCTTGCAACACCCCTTCGGCCTCCAACGAGGCCGGATCTGCAGATCTAGACTCCTCAACCAAGGAATTGAGTACTGAGGGTGCGCCATTCCTATCGAAGAGGGCACGACAAAGGCAACGTCAACGCCTCGCACGCTAATTCGCCAATGCTTTGGAGCTTTTTGGCGGGGTCTGCTACGATGCAGATCTAAAACTCAGAAGGCGCCAATTATTCCAGCAGCGAGCAAACACCCCTTCCTCCAAACCATCAATGAGTGAATGGATCTAAGTCAAAAGGACCCGTTCAACCCTTGAGGAGCGCATTCAGAAACACCGCGTATTGCTTGCGCACGCGAGAATCCTTGTGCAAGAAACCAAAAAGTTACAGAAGGAAGAAGTGGAAAAGAAGCCACAAAGACTGCACAAAGTATGGAGGCCAAAGTTCAAGATGGCGGTCGAAAAGATCGAAAAACACGGGTCACCCAGATCTGACCCTCCAGCCTGCGGGACACTCAGACCCGACCCTCCAGCCCGCAGGACACTCAGATCTGACCCTCTAGCCCGTGGGATACTCAGATCCGACTCTCCAGCCCGCAGGACACTCAGATCCGACCCTCCAGCCCGCGGGACACTCAGATCTGACCCTCCAAACCGCGGGTCATCCAAGTCCGACCCTCCAAGTCGCGGGTCATCCAAATCTGACCCTCCAAGCCGCGGATCACCAAGGTCTGATCCGGGCCAGAGTCAAGACAGGAGATATTCTGCACCTATTCCATTGAGTCCTGTCTCTACTTCAATTAATCCCTCACCTCCGGTGAAGCCTCGCGATAGCGTGGACTTATCCCGATTCAAGATGATGATGGCGGATAGCCTCGGTCCTTTGCACGAGGATTGAGGCAAAGTTCTAATCAAAGAACGCTTAGGTCCGATGACTGAACCCCGAGCAACTACTCGAGTTGGGGGTCGTACACGCCCTCGCAACAAGTCAGAACCTTTCTATAATAGGAAAACTCCTGTAACTGACCGCCTTGGGCTGCAAGTCAGTATCCAAGAGCCCGTTAAGGTCTCGTGCTCACGAAAGCGTGGCTCCAAACATGTGACTCTTGAGAACACCATCAAGGCAACAAGTCCTCAGAAGGAAACGTATTTGTCTGGTGACGACGTTATACCTAAGAAGTCGTGCCAACGCGCGGTAGATTGCTCCGGTCATCAGACTGACGAGTTGTACTATAGGACTGGGGGTACGAACAGATCTCGAAAGAGAGGTATCCAAAAAATGGGCTCTCACTATTCGTGCACCAACATTATCAGGGCAGTATTATCAGCGTGTAGCTGTCCTAAGACCGCTCAGTAAAGGGTCTCGGTATTTGAGACGATCTCCAATGAAACGACTAAGTCCAAGCCAAAACGTTTCCATAAGAAATGATCAGTCGTTCAAGGTGATGAATTTTTGAAAGTTACGATAAATATGGTGGATAAGGGAAAGTCAGCTCGACCTTCTAGCTCCGATCCCCTTGTATCGCATCGTCTGACTCGGCTAGTAGGGACCACTAGACGCAGGGATTATCAGAGAATGCAGAGGGGATTATCCTCAGATTATGAAGCATCAGATGCTAACTTTGTAGTCACTTCTGACAAAACAGTGTCCAGCCCAGGATAATCCCACGAGGCATTCATGATCAACACCGATCAAATCGTCAAAATTCTTGAGGATGCTCTAACCAAGCAGAAAGAGGCATTCAAGATTGAAATAGAAATGGCTATGCAGCAGATGAAGGAGGAGCATGACCAACAGAATCGGGCTCTGTCTAATCAATTTGGTGAATCCAGCCATCGCAACACTGCTAACCAAGCAGGTAGCGATTCAGACGTGGATGAACACATTAATACAGATGACCCTCCCATTGACCAAAACGTTAGGGGTGGCCTTACTGAAAACAACAACGCTGGGGGTGGTCCTACTGAAGATGACAACACTGGGGGTAGCCCCGTTATTCCTCTTAAGAATCGTCAAAGGACTGATACGAACGAGGATGAGAAAATGAAATAACTCAAGAGCAAAATCAACGCTCTAATATCTGCTCGAGAGGTGAAAAGGACCGGTACTCCGTGTTTTTACCCAAGGGAGTGGGATTCGATCCCTACCCGGTGAAGTTTAACCTGAT